TTTCTTTCCATTTTTACCAGTACCTGCAACAAAATTAAATTTTATTCTTATCTTAGAATGTAAAAAACATCAAAAACATGCACCTTGTATACAGTATACGATAACATAAGATAACTCAACATGTTTTGGTCTTAATGTACAGATGATTAAATTATCTGTATAATAATAATAATAATAATAATAATAGTAATAATAGTATTTATAATGCGCTAATTTCAGTAAATGGTCAAAAGCACAGATAGTACAACTAGAGAAAGATTTTAAAAATTGACAATGCAAATGAGGATGGTCTGAATAGAGTTAAAGAGATGGGATTTCAATTTTAACTTAAATAAATCCTGATTGATGCTATTTATATTGTCTACTATGAATTAAGCTGATTAAACAGTACCAGGGTACTACTAAGTTTAAGAATCACACAGGTTGTGGTAAAACATGTCCTATCAATAACATGCTAGAAACCACTAGATAGATGTCAAGCTTTGATTTAATGCGGAACATGAGGTCAGTGGTAAATAGAGCATAGCCCTAGATGCTAGTTGAACTGTTAGGCCCAAGGCACCCACCTATGCACAGCTAGCGACATGCACAGATCCTATGCACGGCTAGCGACATGCACAGGTATTGCACAATGAATCCTCGTACAGTGCTAAAGAACGATGCTTCTTTAAAGTCATAAATACTACTTCTTTCCAAGTAGAATATTGTCTTTTTGTGTATTCTCTTACTTTTAAAAACTTTAGATTTCTTCAGATCACGTCGGTTTAGATTTGTCGATCCTTGACTGACGCTTGACTTAAAATACTAACCAATTTACTGCAAAACGTTGGACCAATTCCCTGGTAGACTGAAAGAGGTACCCATCATGCCATAGTAAAATATAGTGCATTTAATTAATAATTTTTTATTTTGGTGAATGGAATCTTTGATTTTATTATATTATTACGATAGAAGATTGATGGCCTTTGAGGTCAAATATTTCCACGTTGTTTCCATGTGTGTTTATTATGTATTTGCAGTTCAGTGACATAGTCATAATGTTTTTTTTTTTTGTCGAAGCATTCTATAGAGGGCAGTATATAGCATGTTCTATCACAATTATGTATAGTATATTCTATTTGCACAATATTTACAGAAATAAATAAATAAATAGGCCTATAGAATATTCCCTGCACAGATATCACATGCAAATATATCACCGGCTGAATCCTCATAAAGTGCTAAAGAAAGACATTTTTTTATGGTCATGCTTCATTTCCATAGATTAGGCCTAAAAAAAATTGTTGTTTACCCTCCTCACCCGCCCACAAACTCTAACTCACTGAAAAAAATAGGGGTAGCAAAACAAAAAAACTTAAAAAAAGTTTTTTTTTTAGCTTTTTTCTTTACAATTTTAAAAAATGTGAGTGAATTTATTTTTTGCCAGATGCCCTACAATGTTTTCTACAGTTGTTGACTATGTAAGATATTGCCATTCTAGGCCTACATTCATTGCAAAATGTCAACTGTGGTTTATTTTTATTCTATCTGGGTGAGTAATCTTGGAAAAAAAAAAAATTTTCTACCCACCCCTTTTTATCATTTTAAAATAAGAAGAGTAAACAAACAATTAATTTTTTTAGGCCTTATTGTCATACTGTACCCAATACACTATGTGCACAGTTGGAAATATAGATATAGTGGTACAGTTTACACATTAAAAAAAAATTCAAAACAGTTCTGGGTATCTTGACCAGGAATACCGGACAATCTATGCTGACCAATGAATCATGAACGTCAGACTGCAAAAGTACCCATCATGCCTTAATGCAAGTAATTTATAAATGTTTGATTCGATTATATGATTACAATTTGGAGGTCATGGAGGTAAAGTATTTACACATATATGTTTCCATGCGCGTATATTATGTAATACACTTAAAGATCGCACCTGTGTCCGGTACCCATGTTTTATCACCAGGTCCCCAACAGAGATCTTATAATTATAAGATAGTGATGCCTATCTCTAAAGCAATTACTTGTTATGTTTCTTTTTACTGAACATCGACACTTCTATTTGTTACGCGTAGAATCATGGAGAGCGCTATCTTGTGTTTGGTCCTCAAAGCCATTTACACAATGGAAAATTTTCCCCTATTTTCAGCATAAGCTCAGTCAGGTAAATTTGGCCTACATCGTATGCATCAATGCACTCACCACAGACCATACTAAATTTCTTATCTGCTATTCGCTTAAAGTGTGTGACGTCATTTTACCAGTGGCGGCTCTAGCATATATATTTTCTGGGGGGGCTAAGTCGTCCGACAGGGGGGACTTGAGCTCGTAGGCTCGAACTGGGAGAAGGGGTTGAGAGGGGTTCCCCTCCCAAATGAGATTTTTTTAAAAGAATATCAACCTCTAGATGGCCGAAAATGGTACTCTCAGACTGTGACAGACATGTGTTGTGGCTCTAGGATATATTTTCTGGGGGTGCTAAGCTGTCCAACAGGGGGGACTTGAGCTCCTAGGCTCGAGCTGGGAGAAGGGGTTGAGAGGGGTTCCCCCTCCCAAATGAGATTTTTTT